TATACCCCTCTGATTATATAATGGTAAATATTACAATATCATAGCACAACAACAGTGATCAGCAATAATGATAAGCTTAATACTCACAATAAAAATAATAAGGTCATATAGATCATAACACAGTCTCGGAGGTAAGAAGTGGATTAGGCTATCCTTCACCTGAAATGTTTGTCTTTTCATCCTGAAATGCGAGGTAAATGTTGGATCACAATAATTAGGAACCACTGTTTCCACAAATCCCTTCACTCGATTGGGATGTTTTCTTTTATTATGGACGGCAAGGGCAGTGTAACATCGAGAGCGTATTTTGCAGTATTAAACACGTATTTATACCGATTTCATCAGGCTCCAAAAATTTTCCAAAAAAAAAGAAACAAGAATGGCCTTCTTCTCAGCTGCCATAGTTGCAACTCTTGCATCAATAGAACAGGGTGTTCAACGCATAGACATAATAAATACCTAGACGCCTCATTGGCCGCTTTGAGCCGTTGCTGCGATACGTCAACGCGTCCGCCATGTTTGTGAGGGCAAGACTGCCTTAAAAATAAATGGAGGTAAACGGAGGAACTGCGTTTTTTTCTAGATAAAAACACGGTAACGTTTACATTTATCAACCGATTTCAGAGGTTTGTGATCTACATGGAGTTGTCATGTCCAATGTCGCACAATAATAAATATATAACATAAAGCTAAAAATGACCAAAAAACACACAGAAACAACTGTTCAGTCTTACCTGTGAAACATAATACCCCGAGATCTGTTTTTATTATTGTGCAACGGTTTGTAGATGCCCAAGCTGCCGACGAGTCAGGTATGTTTTCTTCTGTCCCCATATGAGAGTTGCCCGCACCAATATGGCGGCGACGTTGACATGTGGTCGAGCGGCCAATGAGGCGTCTAGGTATTTATTATGTCTATGGTTCAACGCACCACTGTTTCCGTTTAAAAAACGTTTTGCAACGTTTTGTCGGGACTGAACACAGCCCAGGTCACAAAACAATTAAAGCAGTTCAGGTGCCAGATTATGCACCCCCTCGTAAATCTCAACCCCACCCCTAATCCCAACCCCTCCCCCACACCTAACCCTAAATTTACCAATACTAGGGGGTGCATAATCTGGCAGGGTGCAAATTTCGGCACTACACCGGTAGAGGACAGCAATTGGATCTAGGCTAAATCTTAAACTGTCATACAATATATTCGTCTTCATACTGTAACCCCACATGAAAACTTACAAAGCACAAAACATGGCTCTTGTGTTGTATTATGTGAAAGAAAAATAGTTGACTAGTAGGCTACATCACAGGTTTACCGAAAATGCGATTCTAGGTCCGGGAGGGAGTCAGTAAGGTTAATAAACTTGAGATTTGGTCAAATTAGCAATAATGAATTTATTGTTACAGATGTTCTGCAAATTCATGTTTAGTGAACTTGTTTTTATAAAGAAAATTTAATATTTAAAAGAAAATAAGATTATTTATTGTAAATATTTCATAAATATAAAATGCATTCACTAAAAATAAAAACTGAAGTGAATTATGTTTAAGGTACATTAGCCTTTTCCCAACAGCTGACAATCTAGATCAGAATTTCATCAGAAGAAAATCATTTTATCTCCCATTTTCTTATTCATTATCGCCTTATTGTTTCCATGGCGACGCGTCATGCTTGTCATGTCCATCAACTGAAACAAATGCATTTTATGTTACTTCTGCATATTCCAACACTTTCCCTCTTTTTCTTTTTCTCTCAGCTCCCGTTGCCATCACGGGTCCCTTGCGTTCTGCTCCGGCTCCTGGCGCAGAGGTGGTGAAATATTCAGCCTCTAACTCTGTCTGAGCACATCGTTCCCAGCCACAACATTAAAGATATTATTAAGCAATATCAAACACCGCCCCCAGAACTTATGCCGCAGATACAGAGGTGCGTTTCCTCCTGTGCATTAGCACCTACGTTTCATACAATCACATGATTTTATTACTACTCTTATTAACTCAAAGAATGCCATGCGTTTGATGACAGGCGAGAAGGTAAAGCTTTTGTGAAGAAGCTGAACCCACACGATGAAGCAATGCAGATCCTAAAAACACAGAGGGACAATCCACCTCCTCCACAGGTTTGTCTACCTCGGTCACTTCTGTACTAACCAATTAAAGCATGTCTGAGCTATTAAACATTGCCAGCTAATAACTATTTATTCATTTGTTATCGTACACAAAGTTATATTCCACAAGGGGGCGCTTGGTCTAAGTCCTGGAGGCGCATTTAAATTTCAGGATGTTTTTGTCTTGTTTGAAATAAGCTATACATTTATTTAAATCTATTAATTGCAAGGAATTCATGTCAACATTAAATCAAAACCAGCCTTTATATGCATTCCTTAGTCTTTGCAAACTTGTATTAAATATAATATCTTGCCCTGTGTAATAACTGTTTGTGTAGAGAGAGGCTCTCACTCCAGCTGCTGTGTCCAGATATAATCAAACCAAACTAAAAGCAGCAAGAAGAAAGCACCAGAATCACCACTGGCTTTACCACCACCAGGTAAACAACACACAAACACACTTACGCATAGCTTACAAAAATACTATGGTGTTATCACGGTTTTATCTCTTTTTGAACACTACCATGATATTCTGTGGAGTACAATATAAAAACTATTGCATATGAATGTGGTAATGATACAGTGCCATTGTATCTATCAAAGTATAACCATCTGATACCATCACTGTAACAGCACATTACCTTTTGTAAGAAGAGAAACTGCTGTTCTGAAGTTTGGGGTCAGTAAAAAATGTATGCTTTTATTCAGCGAGGATATTTCAAATAAATGTGTTTCTTTTGAACGTCCTATTAATCAAAGAATCCTGAAAAAATCTGTCACGGTTTCCACAAAAACATTAAGCAGAACAAATGTTTTCAACATTGATAATAATAAGAAATGTTTCTTGAGCAGCACATCAGCATATTAGAATGATTTCTGAAGGATCATGTGACACTGAAGACTGGAGTAATGATGCTGAAAAGTCAGGATTTACCATTTCAGGAATAAATTACATTTTAAAATATATGAAAATACAAAACAAGTTATTTTAAATTGTAATAATATTTCACAATATTACTGTTTTTACTGTATTTTTTATCAAATTAACACAGCCTTGGTGATTATAAGAGACTTCCTTCAAATACATTAAAAAATCTTGCAGTCTCCAAGCTTTTGGACAGCAGCGTACATATATAAAGCATATGTTCTCCATCTCTCTTTCGCCTTCTCTCACACACACACCAGTGTCCAGAGATCTTCCAGTGGAATCTGAGAGCATCCAAACACAATTGCACAGAGGAGCATTACACTTACACAAACGTTCCCTGGAAAATATACCTCAGGAAGGAGGTGTGTGTTTAATTTGGCTGTTGTTTATGAGGGTGTACTTCATAATTTTGTGGATCATTATGAACACAGCACAGTTTCAGAACTAACGCTGCTGTACAAATTGCTGTAGGTCTTCTATCCCAACGACACTTGGAACCATCCTCTAGTGCTTGACCTCATATTCAAACAGGTGAGAGATACTCCACACAGCACCTTCATAATATGGTCGCCGTGATTTTGCCAAGTAAGACATGTTCCTGGATCAACATCTTTTGTTGATTTTGGATCAACATTACTGTCCAAAAATATAGACTAAACCCACTCCCTACCCCTAAACCTAACCCTACCCATAATTTATTCCTAAAATCAGTGTGAAATGATAGCTGATTAACAAGGGTGTAGAAGCCTCTAACCCTGATCGTAAGCCTAAAACAGTTATTTACTGAAAAGTTATCCCTTAATTCTGATTGGTTAATTGGAATGTTGTTCCAGGATCAACAAGGATGTTGATCCAGGAACATGTTGTACTTGGTGAAATCACGGTCACCTTCATAATACCGTCTGACTCTGTTTTTTTCAGGAGGATTGTGAGAATATCAGCTTTTATGTTAAGACAAAATATTATAAAATGTTCCTATTATCTAAAAAAAGCTAAAATAATAGTAATAATAATATTTTGATAAACTAATTTTTTTTTAATTAAATACATTTAAAAAATAAAGAAATTAGTCATTAAAAGTCAAATAAAACTTGTACAAATGCAATATATATATATTTTCTATTATATTGTTAATAAACAAATACATTTTGTATATACTCTACTGTTTATTTATTTATATTTATTTTTTTATGTTTTTGAAAGAAGTCTGTTATGCTAATTTTTTTTTTTTTTGTAGAAATAATACATTTTTTCAGGATTCTTTAATGTTATAGAAAGTTTAAATGAACAGCATTTATTTGAAATTAAAATGATAAATGCTCAAATGTTTACTTATGAAAGTAAAATGATTTTAAAAAATGAATAATAATTTACTGTCACTTTTGATGAATTGTATGCATCCTTGCTGAATAAGAGTATTACTTTCCTTGTAACTTATTTCTGATATTTCAATTTTGTTTTTCAGATTGTTAATGACACATTTACAGAGGCCTGTGTGCGCATAACTAAAGAGGAGCGGCAGAAGATGAAATTCTTGTTTGGTGAGGAAGGAATTAATTTACAATTAAATTTCTGTTCTATTTGAAATCATTTCCCAAGATAACTTGTTCAGTTTACTGTTTATGATGACTATACTGATCTGTTAGTATGGTACGTGTGTTTGTTTCATAGCACAATATGGCATCGAGCCGAACACAGATGTTCGGAGTGAGAGTGTGAAGAAAGCTGTGATTGCAGCTGCCAGGGAGTCATTGGAGATTTATTTTTCTCGCCTTTTTCCTGCCTCTATGAGTTCCTTTTCCTAGAAGACTGTTAGTATGAATGCAATGGGGCTTATGGCCAATATGTCACCAGTGTGTGTGTTTGCAGGGCAGTGTGAGTACTGGAGTGCAGGTGTTGGCAGTGTCTCACGCTGGTATCTAAAGGCAGTAAAAAGCAGCAGTGCAGCTCCAGACTACTTCCAAGTGCTCCGTCCGTACAGGTGCGTCATCCATCCAGCCATTCAACCATCTGTCAGCCATACACCTCCTAAAACATCTAAACTCTCACTCTCTACCACAGCTACGCAGACATCCTGTTTGTGACCATCCCTTCTCAAAACATGCTGGAGTTTAATCTGATGAATGAGAAATTGATTCTGTTCTCAGCCAAAGCAACTCAGATCAAACATATGATTGATCTCTTCATCTCTCATCTTAAGAAGGTGCAGAAAGTGCTTTGATTTCTCTTCTCGTCATTTCTTCAGGTGCCTTTACACTGCCAACGACGCCTCTGATTTTGTTTAAACATGCAATGCCATACTTCTGAATTCTTGCGCAGGATTCGGAGTATGTTGTAGCAGAGAGAAACTTCATCACAGAGGACAGAGCTCTTCTCAGCTTCCATAAAGAAGATATTATTCGTCTGCAGGCCATGGATGGATTAGAGGAGGGTGAGAAGCAGTGCTCTCACATACACACATTACAGGTCTTTACCACAAGCAGTGATGTCTTGCAAGAAAGTTTGAAGTGGGGGAAATATTGGCACCTGGATACAAGACATTGTTTAAGTTTAAGTACGCTAAAGTTCAAAAGTGTGGGGTAAGTTTTTTTGTTTTTTTAAAGAAATTAATACTTTTATTTAGCAAGGAAGCATTAAATGGATCATTATTAAACGGATAGTTCCGGTCCTTGATTCTGATTGGCTGAGCCACATTCAAAGCTGTTGTAAATGACTCTACAAACATACACCTTTGTTTACAGATAAAGGAACTACATTGTTTGGTGGAAAAATACTGTTTTTATTAATATCATTACACTTTATTTGCTCTGTTTTATTTTGTGAAGCCTAACTACGTATAAGCCCTGTGTGTCAGTCTTGTGTTCCTGTGTCTTGTGTTTCCCTCATATGCCCATTTTTGGTCTTCCTGCTCCAGTACTCATTATGTTAATTTGATTCCACCTGTGTTTCCCTTGTTTCCTCGTTATGTTGATTAATTCCCTCGTTTTCTCCCTTGTTACTTAAGTCCTGTGTTTTGAAGTCTCAAGTGTCTGGTGTTATATGTCTTCATGTCCTCCTGCGTTCCTGAGCTGTATCCTGTTTTGTTTTATATCAAAGTCTATTGGTTTTGAGCAACTCCCGCGTCTCCTCGTTCCCTTGCGCCCCGTGAGAGTGTGACACTGTGAAGCCGTGGTTTACAGTGAATTTATAACAGCTAAGGGGCGTTTTGTTAGGCACGACTTATTGGGGCTTATTGCTTTATTAAATTGAAGTTACAGTAAGAACATTTACAGTTAACAAATAAATTTACAGATTTACAAATAAATCCTGTTCTTTTCAACATTCTATTTATTAATGAATCCTGAAAAAATGTACCAAGTTAAGCAGCACAACTGTTTTCAACATTAATAGTAATAAAAATGTTTCTTAAGTAGTAAATCAGCATATTAGAATTATTTCTGAAGGATCATGTGACACTGAAGACCGGAGTAATGATGCTGAAAATTCAGCTTTGTTATCACTGGAATAAATTACATTTGAAAATATTTTAAAATAGAAAACAGTTATTTAAAATTGTATTTAAAATAGTACTCTTTTTACTAATAGAGTCCCTAAACATTAGGAAATTACTCTGCAGGAAAAGCTCTAGAATTGAGCTAACAATATTTGCATTCCATCAGATAAGCAGCAGTTAACCTTGGGAAGGCTTGTCCTTGATACTCCAGGAAATCTGTGAGGGGGGCTGTACAGTGCATGATCACAGCTATACATAAACCATTGTGCATGTATTATAGAGGAAGAACTGCAATGTTTTCATGGTGTGCATGGGTGTTTGTGTTTCAGGTCAGAGTTACGGTTGCGTGGTGAAGAAAAAGGTCATCTACCTCGAGGAGCTGAAGAGAGGCACACCAGATTTTGGTTCGACATTTAACGTGACATTTTTTTTTTTATTATTTTGTTTATAGGACGCTTTAAATTGCAGAACTACAATTGAAATTAGAGATTTTTTGTCAAATGATGAATATAGATATTTATTATCCATGCATTTATTTTTAATGTTAATAAAAAAGCAAAAAACTTAATATGTTATACAGTGAAAAAAAATTCAGAAATTGCTAGTAAATTTCAGAAAATATTACAAAGAAACAGTAAGAAACGCATTTAATTGTGTAATAAGTGTGAAATTTTAGTAGAGAGACTGAAGAAGTATTCTCTTTTTAAATGTACTCCAATAATTACCGGTAGTTTTAATTATGACGTCAAATTACAGTGTAAGCAGGACAAACTATCAGTTATGAATGTTTTTCCAGGCTGGCGATATGGGGCAGTGCAGGGTCAGAGTCGAGCGTTCCTCATTGACTGTGTGGTTCCTGTAGCTGCACCTGATTTCCTGAGTCTTCCAGCAGAGAGGAGAGATGAGCCGAGAGACAGACAGGGCCGAGTGGCAGCATCAGGAGCTATCGCTCTCGCTATGGCCTCCACTGCAGCTGCACATGAACTAGACCCATCACTAGAGGTATATATACACATTATCACTCCATGGATACAGAATATCTCTATGACAAGGTGTTTGGTGGCTGATATAATGTCAGGGCATTATATGTCGTGTTATATAATGATTGCAAATGATGTGACAATAAAAGTGCTGAAATTATTAAACCTTTATTTGTATGCAGTGTTACATATTTTCTCAATCTTTGAAAATAAAAAATGTGAACTTTCTGTTTACAGGACTGTTATTGGTCTGGTGGTATATGACTAATATTACTTGTTAATGTGTCTGTTTTGTGATGGCTAGTCTGATGGATTTGGTGATTTTGGGGATTCTGAAGTTGAAGGGAACATTCTTTCTTCTCGAGTTTGGCAGAAAATATTTCAGAACGTCAAATGGAAGCAAGAGGTAAAAGGGATGTTACTGCCATTATAATCATTTTAAAAGAAATAATTTTTATTAATGTATTTATCGTTTTTATCTTTTTTTTCAAATTCTGACTTTCAATGTCTTTCAAACACAGGACTAAGCCCAAATATATATATATTTTTTTTATGTGACTAGTGATTCATTCAGAGATAGGTCCAAAAAAGTTAAAGGAAGCAAAGACCCTGCAGAGATGGTGAAATTCAGCAAGGTATTCTGTCCACTGTGCATACATAAACATATAAATACATGCAAATACAATACTCTTCTGTTCAGACGTTTGGGGCCATTTTTTAATGAGATGAATAATTATATTCAGCAAGGAAGCATTAAACTGATCAAAAGAGACAGCAAAGTCATTTACAGTGTTACAAAAGATTTCTATTTCAGATAAATGCTGTTCTTTTGAACTTTCGATTCACCAATAAATCCTGAAAATAAAATACATTTTGAAATATATTAAAAGAGAAAAAAAAGGTTATTTCAAATTGTAGTAGAATATTTATTTAAATAAAATATTTCTGTTTTTACTGTATTTTTGATTAAATAAATACAGCCTTTCATGAGCATAAGAGACTTCTTTCAAAAACATGACGAAACATTTAAACAATAGTTTACATAGAAATATACATATAAAAATACACCCATCTCTTGTTTTCTCCAGAACCCTATCTTAGAGTCCCTTATAATCTTCACTGACCCCAACATGAACCGGGTTGCTTCTGAAATGTTCCTAGGTTAGATAAGAGATATAGCACAGCTACTCAGTCTGTTTTATTCGTGTTTATTATTTTTTTGCTATGCATCATATCTCAAGATTTATTCCTGTGTTTTTGTTTTGGGTGTAGCCATAATGAAGTTCATGGGAGATCATCCTCTCAGGGGCCAGTCGGAGCAGTTTGTGGTTTGCACCTTCCTGAAGGTAAGGCATAACCTCTCATCCATATGGCCAGCTGTACTGCTACCTATAGTGCACATAGACCCCCAGTTGTGTTTGATGTTTGTTTAAGTTTTGGCTTTAATTTTACTGAAATTCATCATTGTTTTTGTAGTTAACGGGTGAATATGGACTGATGAAGGATGAGGCATACTGTCAAGTCCTCAAACAGATTACAGCCAATGCCAGCTCTAAACCGTGAGACAGAGATATGAAACATTTATTTTTTTGCTTGTTTGATAGGACTCTGTGTTAAGCTGTGAGTGTTTGGTTGTGATGTGTTGCAGTGACAGCTGTCAAAAGGGCTGGCGATTACTCTACATTCTGACAGCATTTTACCGCTGCTCTGAAGTGCTCAAACCATTCTTACTCAAGTTCCTAAGAGATGTCTGCAGAAGTCCAGAAGTGCATTTTCATGGTGATTATACGTCACACATTCACTTTTAACAATATTTTTATGAAGCATGATGATCTAACATTATTTAATGTGTGATCTCCAGGAATTGGTAAAGCTTGTGAGCAGAACCTGCACTGTAAAAAATGACCATGAATTTAACGGTAAAAGACTGTAAAAATGCTACAGTAAAATCCTGTTAAATGGTTAACGGTAAATTCCCCTACTATATACAGTGAAAAACTGTATTGGACATTACATGTATTGGACATTTAATTTTACGGTAGTATACCGTTTTTGGAAGTGAAAAAGACCGTATAATTTACAGTGAATAACCGTAAATTGACATTCCCAGAATTCCCTGCGTTACATTTCATATTTGATGTTTTTTTGTTGAAATAACTATGTTTCTTCTTAGTTTTTTCTTATCAGTTTTGTATATTAGAGTTGTGTGTTACACCTAATATTGTTAAATGAATGTTTATTGCATTATTTCAGTTTCATGTGTGTTACCATGATGGTGTTTGGTGTTTGTGTGAATGACACTGTGCACCTTCTATATATGTTATTATTTAAAAGCTGCTTGTGATGGGCTTTGGTTCATCATGTGACTTTCTCATCACCACCTGCATTTGGTGGTTATCAGTGTATTAATTACTCTCTAATGGTTAGAGAGTCGGACTCATAACCCAAAGGTTGTGGGTTCGAGTCTCGTACCGGCAGGGGTTGTAGGTGGGGGGAGTGAATGTACAGCGCTCTCCCACCTTCAATACCACGACTGAGGTGCCCTTGAGCAAGGCACCGAGCCCCCAACTGCTCCCCGGGCGCCGCATTGTGTGTGTTCACGGTGTGTGTGTGTGTGTGTTCACTGCTGTGTGCGTGCACTTTGGATGGGTAAATGCAGAGTGCTAATTCCGTGTATGGGTCACCATACTTGGCCACATGTCACTTCACAAAACAGATTTCAGTACTTCAGTAGGTTGGTATATTAACCTTATATCAGTTAATGAAATTACGGTATTTAACTGATATTAACTACACAGAGCCGTTGTTCACTGACGAGCTGCGCAAAAAATCGCGCGAATATGAACGTGGTTTTGCGCAGCTCGTCAGAGAACAACGGCTCTGTGTAGTTAATGCGGCTCAATGTGAAAGCACGCGGGTGATGGAGATTTACCGCTGATTACAGAACCGGCTTTCTGACAAGATGCGCGTTAAATATTGCATGGGATTTATCGTGCAGCCCTAGTTAAAACCGTCAAATCTAAAACGTTGCTACCGTATTTTTTACGGTAAAATTCCGGCAACCACAGCTGCCGGTTTTTTACCGTAAATTTTACGGAATTTTTTTTACAGTGTGAGAAAGACCTTTCAGTATTGTGGCAGAAGTGTTTACCCCAGTAGTGTGGAGCTCACAGCCATAATGGTCAATAAATACATATAAACACAAAACCGTACATACCACTCCACTCCCCTGTTGCACATATTCACTCAAACCGCTTAAATAAGATTTGATGCAATTTGAAGCAATGATGCATTAAATTGATCAAAAGTGACAAATTATATTCAAATACATCCAAAAAAAATTTCAAAATGTATCATGGTTTCCACAAAAATATTAAATAGCAAAAATGTTTTTAACATTGATAATAATAAGAAAAGTTTCTTAAGCAGCAAATCAGCATATTAGAATGATTTTCGAAGGATCATGTGACTATAGTCTGGAGTAATGGCTGCTAAAAATTCAGCTTTTCCATCACAGAAATAAATTATATTTTAACACTTATTCAAATAGAAAAGTTATTTTAAATAGTAATAATATTTCACATTATTACTCTTTTTTCTGTATCTGCCACACTGTAAAAAAAACGGTTAATAGGTTAACAGTAAGTTCCCGTACTATATACAGGGAAAAACTGTAAAATATCTAACCAATATCTAATTACATTTCATGTAATTTTACAGTAAAATGCTGTTAATTTTACAGTTTTTAGAAGTAAAAATAACAAATCAATGTATAATTTACAGTCAAAAACTGTAAACTGATATTCCCAGAATTCCCTGCATGACACTCCACATTTTAAAGTATTTTGTTTAAATAATCATGTTAAAAAAAAAATCAAAATTTTTTAAATAGTTTTTGTTATTAGTTATGTATATTTGGGCTTTATGTTACATCTTCTGTTGTTTAATTAAAGTTTAATGCATTATTTCAGTATCGTGTGTTACCATGATGGTGTTTTGTGTTTGCATGAATGACTCTGTGCACCTTCTATATATTACTATATACTTCTGCTTGTGGCGAAGCTACTTGTGATGAGCTTTGATTCTTCATGTGGCTTTCTCTTTTAGCACCTGCATTATTATGGTGGTTGTCAGTATGTTAAAGGTGCACAACAGATTTTAATAGCAGTGTGCATTGTTGAATTTACTGGTTTACATTCAAATTTTCTTGTTTGTAAATTTCAGTTTTATACTGTTTGTCAAATTTACAGTTTTGGGCCGTAAATGTGTTTACAGTTTTTCTGTATTTTTTACAAAATTATTCTGGCAACCACAGCTGCCAAAATTATTTTGTAAAAACTACAGAATTTTTTTACAGTGCAGTCTTTTGTTTGGTAGTGTATGTGGTATGAATTACAATGTTCATGAATGTTTTCAGGCTGGTCGAAGTTCAAAGCGGCAGCTGTTTCTATTCCCTGGAGGAATTGAGAGACATTTGAAGATCAAAACCTGCTCCGTATGTCTTGTGTGTCAGTTTATATCTTTTATTGCATGTGATTATATTTGTAGGTTAAGATGAAAGTGCTTTGTTTGCAGGTTGCACTAGATGTCATAGAGGAATTGTGTTATGAGATGGCGTTACAAAGGCTGGAGACAATGGATGAGTACACGGTTTTCATAGTCACCGACAGAGGTACAGATTGATGTCCTTACACCTCTATAAAGGCCTGTAATTATAAAGCTAACTATAACAATAACTATATTAGTGTCAATACCAACGCATGATAACATTCTGTTCACTATACACAGACGATGCAGTTTTGTCATGTGCCGCTTTAAATGTCCGCACTCTTTAAAGAAGGATGTATTCTGATTGGCTGTCAGTGTTTTTATTGTTCAACAGCTGGAAAAAAATTGTGATTCCAACTATATTGTTTCTCTGTGCCATTATCGTTATTGTTGTGGGTCTTAAAGGGATAGTTCACCCAAAAATGAAAATTTGATGTTTATCTGCTTACCCCCAGGGCATCCAAGATGTAGGTGACTTTGTTTCTTCAGTAGAACACAAATTATGATTTTTAAGTCCAGCCATTGCAGTCTATCAGTCGTATAATGCATGGCAATGGTAACAAAATCTATGAGAGTAAAAAAAACATGCACAGACAAATCCAAATTAAACCCTGTGGCTCCCGACGACACATTAATGTCCTAAGACACGAAACGATTGGTTTGTGCGAGAAACCGAACAGTATTTATATCATATTTTACCTCTAATACACCGCTATGTCCAACTGCTTTGAGTGCGCGCATGGCATCCAGTGCGTGAGGTGTGTAGTCTTATCTTGTCTTCTGGAAATCCAACTTTGATTTTTTTTTGGCAAAACAAATAATCCTAATAGAAAAACAAGTCATGTTCTACAAAAGTATTAAGCAGCACAACTGTTTTCAACATTGATCATAATAATAATAATGATAATAATGAGTAGCCAATCAGCATATTCAAATGATTTCTGAAGGATCATGTGACACTGAAGACTGGAGTAATGATGCTGAAAATTCAGCCGTCACAGGAATAAATTACATGTTAAGATTTATTCAAATAAAAACATTATTTTAAATTGTTTTAAAAACATTATTTTAAATTGTAATAATATTTCACAATATTACTGTTTTTCGTCTATCATTGAATAAATGCAGCCTTGGTAAGCATAAGAGACTTCTTTCAAAAACATATTTTTAAAAAATCTTACCATCCCCAAACTTTTGAACAGTAGTGTAAATATAATAAATTACTGGAGGACATTTTGTGTGACAATGATATTGAAATCCTAAACCGGTGCATACCACAAATATATTCTAGTTGTAATGTACCTACAGCTATTATTCCTTCATAATTGTGTGTTTGTATTTGCACAGGTTCTGCCAGACTACCTGAAGGGTCTGTTGAATGTCGTACCTCAGGGAAAGATCAGTGAACAGCAGTTTGCCAAACTTGCTGCTCTTCAACACAGAGCCAAAGACAGTCTCTACGCGCCTACTATGTACACTGTAAAAAATTACCATGAATTTAACGATAAAAGACTGTAAAAATGCTACAGTAAAATCCTGTTAAATGGTTAACGGTAAATTCCCCTACTATATACAGTGAAAAACTGTATTGGACATTACATGTATTGGACATTTAATTTTACGGTAGTATACCGTTTTTGGAAGTGAAAAAGACCGTATAATTTACAGTGAATAACCGTAAATTTACATTCCAATTCCCTGCGTTACATTTCATATTTGATGTTTTTTTGTTGAAATAACTGTTTCTTAGTCTTTTCTTATCAGTTTTGTATATTAGAGTTGTGTGTTACACTTAATGTTGTTAAATGAATGTTTATTGCATTATTTCAGTTTCATGTGTGTTACCATGATGGTGATGATATATGTTAATATTTAAAAGCTGCTTGTGATGGGCTTTGGTTCATCATGTGACTTTCTCATCACCACCTGCATTTGGTGGTTATCAGTGTATTACAACGCTACAACGTAATGGTTAGAGAGTCGGACTCATAACCCAAAGGTTGTCGGTTCGAGTCTCGTACCGGCAGGGGTTGTAGGTGTGGGGAGTGAAATCTAAGCGGTAAATCTCCATCATCTGCGGGCTTTCACATTGAGCCGCATTAACTACACACGGTCGAATATGACCGTGGTTTTGCGCAGCTCGTTAGTGAACAACAGCTCTGTGTAGTTAATGCGGCTCAATGTGAAAGCCCGCAGGTGATGGAGATTTACCGCTGATTACAGAACCGGCTTTACTGACAAGATGCGCGTTAAATGTCGCATGCGATTTATCGTGCAGCCCAAGTTAAAACCGTCAAATCTTTTTACAGTGTAATTTTTAGACAGACTTCTTTCTTGAAAAGAGTTTTACGTATACATACAATTTGACCTAATTTTCACCATATGAGAAATCTGGAAATCAGAATCACAATCTGAAAAAAACTTTGGTGTTTATCCCACAGGATAATTAGCATCAATATCTGCAATCAGAAATATCAACTTTTGATATTTTATTGCATGTGAACAATCGTCTCATATGCGTCTATTTTTACACTACCTTTGTTTTTTTGTTTTGTTTTTTTAAAGACATCTCTTTTATGTTAGTTTATTTGATTAAATATACAGTAAAAACAGTAATATTGTGAAATACTATTGCAGTTTTAAATAACTGCAATGTAATTTATTCAGCATCAATACTCCAGTCTTCAGTGTCGCATGAAGCTTCAAAAATCATTATAATATGTGACCCTGGACCACAAAAGCAGTCTTCAGTCGCTGGGGTATATTTGTAGCAATAGCCAAAAATACATTCAAAATACAAAAATACATTGTATGGGTCAAAATTATTGATTTTTCTTTTATGCCAAAAGTCATTAGGATGTTAAGTAAAGATCATGTTCCATAAAGATATTTTGTAAATTTCCTACTGTAAATATATCAAAACTTAATTTTTGATTAGTAGTATGCATTGCTAAGAACTTTATTTGGACAGCTTTAAAGGCGATATTTAGATTTTTTTGCACCCTCAGATTCCAGATTTTCTGTAGTCATGAGTTGACAGAGTACATCCCAGTTGAGATCTTTGGAAGACAGGGGCCTCAGCAGTGGATGCAGCTAGTTGCTCAACATGTACATCCCGCCCAAAGCCTGAACCCTCACCAGGCCAGATCCCAGTTCCTGGGTATTTTATTAAATGAGGCCAAACACCCTCATTTACTATTTACCTTTTTGTTATCACATATTACCATGATGAAAGGCAAGGTTTGTTGAATGGTGTTTGTGTGTGTACTTCAGGTTTGGTGTGTGCATTTCTTATGTTTGGATCGTCCTTCTTTTACATCCAAAGCAGCAGCAACAGCACCATCTCTGCACCATGCATCCTCGCTGTCAATCAGAACGGACTGCACTTCCTGCACAAAGACAGTCACGTGCGTATTACAAACAGAAAAGGAATTACAATTATAAATTACAAAGGGAATGCAGGTCTTAAAAGATCTCTATTTGCCCTTCCACATATTATGGCTTTAAAAGGTCTTAAATAAGAGCAGAATATCTTACATTCATAAAGCCATGGCATTAAATGTTGCATACATTGCAAAAAATGTATATCTTTCTCAGTGTTTTTGTCGTTTTCCATTACAAATATCTAAACATCTTTAAATCAAGATACATTTACTTGAGATGCAAAATATGAAGTCTTGAACAAGTTAATGCTTAAAACAAAAACAAATATCTGTCAATGGGTATGAAATGTTTTCCCTTTGAAAATTTTTTTTTTATCCCATTTATAGATATTTGTCTTTTTTAAATCATAAATAAACTTCTTTTTGATAAATTTCTCAGAAAACAAGAGTTCTTATCATATGTAATTTTTGTATCTATCATGATTTTTATTTGCACTGGAAAACCACAAAAATACTGAGTGAAAACATGAGTTTTGTGCAGTGTGATCAGAAGGTACAATAAAAGTTATTTTGTGTGCAAAAGTAATTAAAAAAGTTGGAAGTTGTATTTTCAAACTTTGAAGTCTTGCTAATAATAACTTGTGTTCTCCCTAGACATTTACATTTAGAGAACATAGTGACGTATTGTGTTCCCTTTAATGTTTTCTTTAATTGGTCTTAAAAAGTCTTAAATTCACCTTCATTAAACATGCAAAAACCCTGTAATGTTTTCGGTTTTCTAAATTGATTTTCTGTTGGCAGGAGGTGCAGGTGAAGTTCCAGCTGAAGCTGATTCAGTCAGCTCACACACAGCGGCCCAGCACTGGTTCCAGTTATATATAGACATCCTAACAGGGGACTTAACCAACCACAGAGTTACACAGTTACAGATGGAACAGGTAACCACATTCAACGCCATGAGAACAGTGTAGAAGTGTGAATGCATGGTTTATGAGCATATATGTTGTTTGTAGGGTCTGGAGCTGTGTCGGGTTATCGCATGCACATTGAGAATATGCTCTCTGTCTGAGAGAAGAGGCTGACGCTGCCACCCAGTGAAATCACCATGCTGTAACAAAACCATGTACAGATATACACACAGTCTGTATACTCACAAATATTATGATTTCTGTATGTGTAAGTAATATAACAACATTTTTTTCACAGTAAAACTTTTATATTTAGCTATTAGTTAACAAATGAATCCTAATGGTCAGCATATTTGTATTTTTTTTTCAAGAGTTTTCTTAATAAATGTATTGACTGAAACCTATGTTGAAACATTGTCCTGTAATTGTCTATATGAGACTACCAAGAAACCCCTTCACATATGAGGCATGGAGCATCATGGTCTATTGTAAATTATTTAACTGTTTAACGTTTTGTTACTGAATATTACAAAATAATTATAAAAACGCAATAGAGAGCATGAGGCAGGTTTGAGTCCGTCCTTTCCTGTCTACTCTCGTTCCTATAAAAAAAATATGTTTAAATAATCATAATAAATTCGAAATAATTCGTAAATATCGCAATACTTTCATAAAATAGCTTTTTATAGCTGCAGGGGTTTGCTGACAGCTGATCGCTTCGCTTATTGGCTGTCACTGGACCAGAACCTCATGCCCATAAGCCTAAGCGCAAGGTATGATGCGCATGCGCATTGCGCAGTTCGCCAAACAGTTGTGGTTCCACGAGTTTGTGTTCCTTCCAAGGCTCGGTGCAGTCTTGCAGCAGCGTAATAATTACTATTTCTTGGATACATTAAACTAGGCTGATCAGCCCGGCGGTTGCAGAGACCAGAAGGCGTGCGTTTTAAACAACATGCAGCTGTAAGCCTGTGTCCACTGGAGGCTAGTGGAAGCGTAGCTGTGCTACGTGCTAATGTTATGAGACTGGACCGCAGAGAAACGCCGCCTGTGATTGACAGCTGACTCACTGCTTTGGGTTACAGATTCAGTCGGGTTGCTCGTGGAACGGGGCAGTGGAAACTTTGGTTGGTGTAGTTTGCTAAACGGGGGAAGAGGAAGCAGGCGGCGCCGCTGCGGGCCTTCGGTCAGGTCGCGTACGACTTCAGTGACCGACACTAACATTATAACATGGGGACCTGAAGTGAATTCAGGTTGAACAACATTTTGCCGCGATTTTTTGGACTTTGCTCTTGAAAATGGCCAGTTTTACAGATCTGCGGGAGAAGCTGAAGTCGATGACACCGCACAGGGACAAAGTTGTCGAGAACAGCGACGGCGAGAAGCGCAAATACCGCGAGTCGGACGACGACGAGAGCGAGTACGAGGAGCGGCGGGACGCGGAGGCGCTCAAAGTGAAAAGTAGCATTAAGCAAGCGAATATCTTCACGCAGGAGGAGTGCGCGCGCATCGAGGCGAAGATAGACGAGGTGGTTGCCAAGGGAGACAAGGGGCTCTACCGGGAGCACACGGTGGACCGGGCGCCTTTGCGGAACAAGTACTTTTTTGGTGAGGGCTACACGTACGGCTCGCAGCTTGAGAAGCGCGGGCCCGGGCAGGAGCGGCTGTACTCCAAAGGCGAGGTGGACGAGATCCCGGACTGGGTGCACGAGCTGGTCATCGATCGCCTCGTGACGCACGGCGTCATACCGGAGGGCTTTGTCAATAGCGCCGTGATCAATGACTACCAGCCCGGGGGCTGCATCGTGTCCCACGTGGACCCCATCCATATCTTTGAGCGACCGATAGTGTCCGTGTCGTTCTTCAGCGATAGCGCGCTCTGTTTCGGATGCAAGTTCCAGTTCAAGCCCATCCGCGTGTCCGAGCCCGTGCTCCACCTGCCCGTGGCGCGCGGCAGCGTCACCATCCTCAGGTCGGTAACGTTACTAGTCATTTCCAGAACATGCTATTATTATACGATTCTTTGAAACACCATTTATATATCCATACGAAAAAGTACTGTGGCAGTACCATAGTACAGTAGTAGTAATACTGTGGTATTTTGAAATGTACTATGGTGCATGTCCAAAATACCATGAGAGTAACATGGTACGTTTTGGTACAGTTTTGCAAGTTTAATTATATGTGCTGTTGTATTACCATAATACTTTGATTTATGCTATGGTACTGTGTAACAGTGTAATTACCATATCCATATACAATGGTACTTCAAAAGATAAAATGGCACACAAAAGTACTATAGTAGGGTACCATCGTGATACCATATTATTTTACATGGTATGGTCCAATGTTATTTTAGTATCATTGAGATACTATTATAGATTTTATAGTTTGAATTCATTTCTACTTTTATATTTTAAGTTTTTATTTAAAAGTTGTAGTAATTTTGTTCTTGTAATTTTTATTCATGTTTTTTTTTAAATATCTATATAGTTTTTCATTATTATTTTTATTTCAGTTTTAGTTATTTTGGTGAACTAAATGAATATAAGAAATGTTCCCTTGGAAAGTAGCTGAAATAAAGTTTAAAATGTAATATTTATTTACTTATTTTATTTCAGTTAATGCTTAATTGTAAGTAAGAAAAATGTTGTATAGTTTTAGTTAAATGTAATCCTGCTATGTTCTTACCATGATTTTGGAAATATCATGCAAATAGCATTGTATTTAAAGGGGTCATATGATGTTGCTAAAAAGAACATTATTTTGTGTATTTGGTGTAATGAAATGTGTTTATGCGGTTTAAGGTTAAAAAAACACATTATTTTCCACATACTGTACATTATTTTTTCTCCTCTATGCCCCGCCTTTCTGAAACGCATCGATTTTTACAAAGCTCATCGGTCTGAAAAGCGAGGTGTGCTCTGATTGGCCAGCTATCCAGTGCGTTGTGATTGGCCGAATACCTCAAGCGTGTGACGGAAATGTTACGTTTCTTACCATATTGTGATGCCCTGTCCGGCTGGAGCGATGAGACAAAAACATTAAAACCCATTATAAACGAGGAATTTGTTGCATCCAGTGGGGACATAATTATGGATTATAATGA